CTCCTCCTCCTCCTCCTCCTCCTCTTTTCTTTGTTATTTGAATCTTTTCTCTGACTCTACCTGCTCCCTCCCACCTGGCAGCAGCCGCTCTAAAAATAAAAGCCTCTCAGACGCTGATTGATTGGAGGCTCTCAGGATGCCCAGGGTGGGCGAGCGAGAGAGAGAGAGAGAGAGAGGGCGAGCAACGCGACGGCGGCGCAGGAAGCAGGAGGTGAGGAGAGACGAGGAGGAGCAGGAGGAGAGCAGAGCCGTTAAATTAAACAGGTTTTAATAACAAACAGATAAAGTTCAGACGTCAAACATAAATACAGAAATATTCTCTCCCTCCATGATAGATGGAGAGGTGTGAAAGTTTGGGCAGACTTGTTAATTTTCCTGATTTATCTTAATAAATCTTTGATTGTTTGGATTAAAAATCAGTTAAATATATCATTCAGGGGACAAACACAGTGATATTTGAGAAGTGAAATGAGGTTMATATGATTTACAGAAACTGTAGTGAGCTCTCCGTCCCACAGACTGTCAGCTGGTTAATATCAGACATAAAGCCACAGGTTAGTTTTAGAGAAAATGACCTGAGCTACAATAACGTAGACCGGACTCCGGCGGTAGCAGATTGTTGCATTCCAACATATAWYGKACTGGTGACCCACTGGACGGCACAGTGGGGTCAGTCTGAAGCCATTCWATGGGACTGATAACCACTGATAACGTCCTTTTAATGGACTGATAACATCTGAAGCAGCTGCCTTCAGCAGCACATGTTTGACTCTGTGTTTATGAAATGTTTCCTGCTGAAGCCTCAGGCTTCCTGACTGGTCTCTCCTGATCCTGGTCCAGTCTCTGTGGTTTCTGGGCTCTGCAGGAGGGGGCGGGCCACTCGGGGGTCCGTCTTTAGTCCAGTAAATATAAAAAGAAATGTGAACTTTAGGCTCTGCAGAGTCTGGACCCTTCCTGTGGAGCTTTTCTCTGCAGGGTTCTGGTCTGAATGGTTCTGGTCTGAATGGTTCTGGTCTGAATGAGGTTCTTGTAAAACTCTGCAGGTCCAGTTCTGTGTCTGATCCAAACTTAAATCTGACCTTTAAAGGTCCCATAAAGAACCTGCAGGATGCTTTGATCTGCTGTTTAACTCTTTAAGTTTTCTCACAAACACAAACTCAGACTGTTTTTACTGACCTGTCTGTTTTCATCTGGAAATAAACGGATTTWTCAGGTTCCAGTTTGATTTTTTATGTAATAAAATGTTTATTTTTATGTTTTAAATAATTGCTGTTAAACTTTTAACTCTTTTTGTTGCTCTGCTTGTTTTTCTGGTAAATGTGTCTCAGAACTGGCTTCTCTTCACATGTTTTCTGAGTGTATAAATAAAACTAACTAATTAAAGCACCAGAAGCTCTCAGCATGATGCTGCCACCTCCGTGCTTCACTGTGGAGATGAAAGAACAGGTTTTTATTTTCTGAATAACAAACATTCATGATTGAATCATTGGTTTAATATGAATGTTCAGACGCTGTTTCACTTAGTTTTTAAACCTGGACGAGCAGAGAGGGGGCGGAGCTTACCACTTGCAGCAGCGACAGGTATCCTGCTCCAACGTTGTCGAAGTTCACCTTGACTTTGCTCCAGTAGTACAGCGAGGTGTCGTTCAGCTCCAGGCACTGCGACTTGTTGTTGATGAAGGAGGCGTCGTACACGAAGCCGGTCCGGTTCACGCAGCGGCCGAACTTCCCCGCGAACAGGTTCACGCCCATGATGCTGAAGATGAGCCAGAAGATGAGACAGACCAGCAGCACGTTCATGATGGAGGGGATCGCCCCGATCAGAGCGTTGACCACCACCTGGACAGGTACACAGCTGTTACACAGGGCTGAGGGTACAAATACACAGGGCTGAGGGTACAAATACACAGGGCTGAGGGTACAAATACACAGGGCTGAGGGTACAAATACACAGGGCTGAGGGTACAAATACACAGGTCTGAGGGTACAAATACACAGCTGTTACACAGGGCTGAGGGTACAAATACACAGGGCTGAGGGTACAAATACACAGCTGTTACTCAGGGCTGAGGGTACAAATACACAGGGCTGAGGGTACAAATACACAGGGCTGAGGGTACAAATACACAGGGCTGATGGTACAAATACACAGGTCTGATGGTACAAATACACAGCTGTTACTCAGGGCTGAGGGTACAAATACACAGG